CTTCTTGAGCAGTCCAATTGACTTTGGATCCTTTCAGCCTGATGGAGCATTATCCGGATCAGGATTGCAAATGCACCTCACCGCTAGAGCATTTCGCAGTGTCTGACTATCTGCTTTGATCACTTCAGTTGCGACCTCATCTCTTCCGGTGGTTACTCCTTTTTTCACTCGCTGCGCAGAATCCTGAATTTTGTCAAGGAGGACCGACAGAGGATGGCTCTCTCTCTGGCTGTTGGAGTGTTGCTTGGGGAACGTGTGTCTTTTACGCACAGAGGGTGGTGCGTAAGTTCGTAGAGATACATCATATCTCAGCGCTGCTTTTCGACACCATGACAGGTGAGTGACGAAGCAGTGAGTAACTCTCTGCAGCACCGTCTGATACTTTTGTGGCTTTTGGATGTTTTCTCCAATATTCGGCATCTGAAGGTCTCCAAGTCTTCCTTCAGCTTTGCCTAATGAGCTACTCGGGAAGAGAGTACTTGACCGATTCGGTCCGTCCTTCAGCAACACCGTTTCTCTAACGAACTCCTCATTTTCTGAGATTATTCCTTTTGCTCTCTTCGATGTCACCACGTCAGTTGATTTCATTCTGATGCCTCAGTTTCTCAGCGAATACCTCGCAGTCGTTATTGTAGCTGCCTTTCAAGCATCAGCTTTCTTTGCAAATGTACGTTTGGAGCATCGCCTCGTCGAATGCCTTTGGTGGTTGTCTGCAATTTCCATCTGCAGTGCCTTCCTCCAAATCTTCTCCTCAAAAGTTAGTCTGGTTGGCATCAGTGTATGGTCACTACCGATATGAATGGTGACATCTCAGACCGTTAGGTCTCAGCATTCATCTAGCAGAGCGAAGTTGATCTCGTTCTTCGTCGCCGCCTGGGATGTGTTCCATATACCTTTGCTGTTGGCTTTCTTCGTGAATCATCCTCACCAGTTGACGTTTTGCCTCATTTCCCTCTGCAGTGCCATATCTACTGAAGAATGCCTGTTCCAATCGTTCATGGAATTCTTCCACTTCCTCCGCCTCAGCTGTACTTGTGGAAGTATAGTTTGGACGATCCTCAAGGTTCACTTCCTGTTCAGTTGGAAGCATAGCACACTCAACCTTGAAGACTTCACAGGTCAGGAGACGAGCTTGGTGACCAGCTCCTGCTGACCACAAATCCTCGTCCTCCAAATTTCTGTGATTCCTCTCCTCTTCCTAGCCATGTCCAACTACTCTCTGTCCAGATTCAATTCATTCTCTTCTGTCGTCATGTCTCGCAGCGGACATATGCCATGCAATCAACTTTAGCAACAGACCTACATCGTTCGAATGCCACACCTTCAGAACAAGCGGCTCGTTTACTGTAGGCAGTGGTGCGCGTATATAACGAGTTACCCACCTATGACGAGGCTGACCAACTTGATGTATGGATGATTAGAGATTAGAAACTCGCGTAATGCATTTGCCAGATATTCAAAAAAATGGGGTGCGGCCGTTTGTAACTGTAATGCATCGGTTGCAGACGCCTGGCGTCTTCCAACGCTCTTCGACGTGCTGTAATCGCACTGTCCAAAACACACGATCATTATTTCTGCCTGAAACTCAGCAGACGAAAGTTGTAATTGGTAGTGATAAGACTCGACGCGACTGATTACTCAGTAAGTGGCGATTCCATCTGCACCGCGATATGGCTGATAGACGGGCAGAGGTTTTGATCACGAGGCGAAACGTGTTCAAAGCGCTGCGCCGCCAGAAGGAGGCGAAAGATTCACATTGACAGGAATCCAGCTCGGTCGCTGGTGTGGTCATCACAGCATGTGTCTCGAACGGCCATCAGTCCCTGGTTTCATTGCACCTGCGATCCGTTGGAAAAGGTACTTTTTTAAAGTCGTGATATGATGATGGACCTGATATAATTTTTCATTTGTCCATATGGTGGAAAAGCAGCGTAAAACACGGTTTATTTATACACAACGAGTGCTAAAAGTCTGTCCAGTGATCGATCAGTATCGACGTTTCGGCCCGTGTCTCAGTGGCTTTCTTCGAGGTAGGTTGGTGGTTCAGTTTCATAAACGTGGTTCGCCGTCTTGAAATAGCCATAAAATATTCATTTCAATTCATGGACTTTTCGTGAGGGAGCCAACAGACGTCAACCAGGAGGCCAACATGCAATTTGGAGGAACAAGGTACAAGCAAATATTTTTCCATAGAAGAATTGTTTCATCTACGGTGCAGCAACCGGTCTTTTACAGCCAAAGCGTTTAACAGCTGCAAATACGATAGACATCACCAACCAGACGTTTTCTTGCGTTGCTTATGCACATAGCTCCAGAAGACGATTTCAACAACAGTATAGGACAGCAGAGAATTGCTTATGCGAATCACGGCTCCATGAAAATTGGACATCAGCAGTGTATGGATGCAAGACCATGTGATCATGCTGGACCGAACAAAGATGAGCTCAAAAGTCGAGGGAATTCCCCTTCTTCGTAGACTTACACATGGAAAAAGCTGAACCATATATTCTGGGGTCAGCTGCAATAACTGTAGTCTTCAGTGCCGTATGAGTTTAGTTTAAGGTTAAGAACTTCTTCCTTTCTTTTAAAAGGTTCGTAGCCAGCGGTTTCGAATTCTACCTTTGGGGTACCAGTCCTCAGAATATCCGGATCAGTGTTTGCTGTAACTGAAACTGCTAATCTTGAAGCAAAATAATCCGTGAAATGCTGCTGTAAGGCACTGGACCTAATGAACGCAAAGAATGCAGGTTCTTATCACCACCAGAAGCATTCGTATCAACGATGTCGAGCGAATGAAATGAAATGAAATCAGTCACTCACACATGCACATCACCCACCCGAAGATGAGGAAAATTTCGCAAAAATATGCGTCACGTCTCGAACCCTTTCAAGAGATTATGACAGTCGCCACTGGAACGTTGATTGAAAAATTCACAACGTATGAATCAGTTTTGGTGCTTACAAATTTCTTATTATGATCGGTCTGCGAACGCGGCCGTGACGTCCTTGCGTCTCTCCGACTGTCGAACATGTTGATGCGGATTCATCGACTTCGTTAAAATTCATCGAACGATTTTGACTGGTTCAGCTTGCTTTGCATACATGACAGAAAGTATGCAAAAATGTCCAACACTGCCATTATGGATATTCTGATTTTGCTGATCTGCTTGCAAAACGCAAAAACCCTCGCTTTGTACCTCGCATCCGGGTAAGGAATCTGACAACAGCTCTTAGACGAAGTTCATGATTCTGCACAGCTAGACTTAAAGTACATACACGCTATTGCTTCACTTGCAGCATCTTTGCTACCGTAGAGTTCCGGGACACCTTTTGGCTGCAGCTGATGATTGATGCTCTCAAAATGCAATCTTGCATTCTTGGCGTCGACTGGTAGCTCCACTCCAATACCCATTTTACACCCGCTTTCTTTCGGTGCTAATAAAGCTCTTGCAGAGTTACTCAGCAGTACAGTTCGAGGGCACAGGGGTACTGAAGGTTCATTGGAAGTACCGCGGAGTACCTCGAGACGCGTCGTTGGCTAATAAGCCGTCTGTCAGTGTTCTTAAAAATGTATGCCTCCGCATTATGAGTTTGAATAACAGACGATAGAGCATTTTGCATGGACAAATTGCTCTGACGGTGATCCTTCAATTGTGACGGTAGATTTCTTCTCTTAGACCAGACTTTTGTTCCGTTTGCAACCGTCTATGGGATTCAGTGTTGAATCACATGTCAAATTTCACTCGGGTTCAAGCCCGGTCACTTCACTTTCTTTTGTTTCTGTTGAGGTTGATGAATGTATGCAACTTTGCGGGAAAGAAACATACGACTACACACTATGCGTACTACATTACTGCTTTTGACTTTGTGTTTGAAATCAGGCACTGCTGGCCGATGGCTTGAAAATGCAGATCATCCCCCCGCAACTATTGGCTTCATAAAATGAAGATCTCTTGAAACAGCTTTATCATGAATTTGCAAAGAAGGTAGACATTCCAGCGGTTTCAGACTTCTCGTTCCTTTTTTACCTGCCACGTTGTTTGGCACGAAATGAGTGGAAGATGGCATATTGCTGAATTGAACTGCAAGCTCAAACTGTGGAATGAATACATGGAACCCACTTCTTGCGCGGTTTAAACCGATGTTGTACAAATCACTTTTGTAGGAAGCAATAAAGCAACGTACCTCCTGCCAGTGGATTTCGCACCTATGCTCTGAGCTATAATGGAATGACCTTCCTCTTCCTTGATGTGTGATGTTCATTGAGGCATTTAACTAGTATATGCTTGATGATCTTTCTTCCATTTCAGGCTCTGTCTTCACACAGTTCGAAATAACGAATGTTTCTTCATTCTAGGGACATCATGGATAGAATGTCGCTCAAGAGCATCTGGCATTTTCCCCGAAAGTACAAGACACTGGTCTTTTTGGTACCGATCACGTTTTGGCTGTGTAACTTAGTTTACAGAGGCGAAAACTCGCCGGTCGATTGCGCTCAAGACGTTGCCACCGCGGAATTCAACATGAATCGCACGTTCAAGCAGATCAGCGTTCGTCTGGGGCATTGGGAACATGTTGCGAGTGACTCCGGCTTGGACAACCGTTCTTTGCTGTTGCTGTACAGAGATTTCAACCACGCCAACCCCCACCCGTTCAGGTATCTGATTTTCAACGAAGATCTTTGCAAAGGCAGCCGTTCAGACGTCTACCTGCTTGTCGTCGTGCACACTCATCCGAGGAACTTTAATCGTCGAATGTTCATGCGCAAGACATGGGCCAATCCCGTTCTCTATCCTTATCTGCAGATGGTGGTACTGTTTGCCATGGGCTCGGCGAACGACACGTCCGAAGATTTTAACACCGCGGTGCGGGTCGAAAGCAACAGGTTTCATGACATCGTCCAAGAAGACTTTCTCGATTCGTACAGGAACCTGACGTACAAGGCGATCATGTGGCTGAGGTGGTCCGCCTTCTACTGTCCCCAGGTGGCGTACGTGCTGAAAATCGACGACGACATATTCGTCAATCCGTTCCATCTGTTGCGCTTGACGCTGCTGCTTAACAGGAAGTACG